GGGTTTAGGGTTTAGGGGCTAGGGATAATTAGAATAGGGTTTACGGGCCCAGTATACCATCGATATGACAAGGAACCTCAAAATACCAGTGGTAATCATTTTGGCCCCTATGTTAAACCTGTAGAGCGCTAACTAAATGCGAGCCCTAGCAGCAAATCCGTGAGTTGGGCGTTTTATAGGGTTTAGAAACGTAATTCATGGGTTTTGGTTTGGGTTTTGCGGGGTTTAGAACCCTGGCAGCAAATCCAGTCGGTCTCGAAGCTTTCGCAGTAGCTGGATGTTGATTCTGGATTAACCGGTAACAAGACTTCAGGCTGCTACAAGAATCCAACCTTTTTCTGACACTTGGTTTTTATAGTCGTTGTAGTGGATGTATGTGGCCCGGACAAACCCGATTTGCCAACCGAACACCCTGAACCACAAAAGCTGTGGCAGTTGTGGCGGCGGTTGTGGTGGTGGAGGCGGTGCGGCCGTCGGTACCATCAACAGCACGTGGAGCCCTTGCCAACACAAGCCGAAACGCTAAACCTAAAAACCAAAAACCCGAATCAAGCCCGCTTGAAAGCATATAAACACCACTTTAAACACANNACGCTTCAAAAATCAAGGATGGCCGGGGTACCAGCCAGACAAAGGAGACACAGGCAATCAGGCCAATGCGAAGCTCCGGCGGGGTAACCGTGAAGTTGAAAAGGTGGAACCTCGAAGTAGGGTCCAGACTTCCAGGTTACAGGTTTACGATTTTCAGCCCCAGCACGAAGCCGTTTTGGGAATGCTGTTGCCGTGGGCTTGCAGGGTTTCAGGTGTACCTTAACCTCCGCAAATCTACCTTTTTGTAGGTCCTTAATATAAACCCGACTATGAAATTTATAAGGACCCTTTAAAAAAAGTAGGTTTTGGATGGTTGAGGTAGAGTGAAGGATTGAAGGCTTCGAAGAATTTTGGGGGCCTTGATAGCCCTGCGCCCCATCAAACCGATGCTCCCTCAGCAGGCCAGGGGGCAGTGGGAAGATTTTGCAGTAGGCCATCATGGTGTCTGACAGCTCTGCACGCCACCTTCTCAATCCACTGGCCTCAAGTGGCTATCGGGCTGGCTCCCGCGTTACCTGAACCCCAAACCCTATAGACCCTAAGCCCTGAACCCGAAACCCTAATTAGACCCTAAAGCTCGACACCCGGAACCCCAAAGCTTTGGGAATCTGCAGATTGGAAAGCCCTTTTGGGATTCCAGGGCTCCTCGGCTAGTCGAGAAGTGGCTAGCGGTTCTCAGCTGACCTCCTACCCGTCGCCGCTGTCCTATGAACCAATGGCACAACCGACGATTTGATGATGATGATGATGATGATGATGGTGACGATGATGACGTTGATGGCGACGAATTCCACGATGTTGACTGAATATGGCTTGATGGTCAGGATCACGGTCGTGGCCCCCACAACCCCAGCACCCTTCAAAGGTTGGAAGTATGGGCCCCTAATGTGGTCCCTTAGGCCTTTCTAAGGACCCTTAAAGGTACATACAGGGTATATAGTAGGTGTATAAGGATCCCAGGGTTAAGGGCCCACACTAGGGGCCCATGGGTTCAACCTTAGAACCCTTAAGCACTCGGAAAGGGAACCCCAGCACTGGTCTGGTCCCGGCTGCTGGGTTGCCGATTCCCAAAGCGGTGTCCTCGAACATGTAGTAGAGAGGAAGGTACATGAAGGGAACCTTTGTTCCGGCTTTGTACCGCTCTATTTTTGAATGGCGTGTTTCTTGGGTTCCTGTAAATGCTTTGTAGGGGTCTGGTAAGGAGTTCTTAGACGGGCTTTACACTGCTGACTTCAGACCATAGACGGTTAATTCGCAATAAGTTCTTGCTCCCGAGTCCCTTCACACCCCACACCCGAATGAAGCCCGAATTTAGACCTTCCCTGAGACACTGTAAACCGCATGGATACCCTATAGACACCTATGCAAAGCCTATTGAAAACGTAAAGAAGCGCCAGCAAACCCAAAACCCAAAACCCTGAACGCCCGAAACCCCTAAACCCTAAACCCTGAAGCAACCAACCAACCTAAACCCTGAACGCCCTAAACCCCTAAACCCAAAACCCGGCCCAAGGAACGTGGACGAAGAGATCGGCGAGGACTTTCTGCACCCCGACACGGAGTTCCATCCCGGGGCCAAACAGTCTCAGGGATTGGGATGTGTGTGTGCGGGGGGGTATTTATGTACATATGTATGTGTGTATAAAAGAGTGAATAACTTGATACAACAATACGTATATATATATATATATATATATGCATTCACATAGAACCACATAAACACACATGCATGACATTCTGTGCCTATGCAACTTTCTATGCATTATATCTGTCAATATGTTTTTCTTTTCAGGGCCTATTGGGGCTGTTTTTGCTTGGGCCGACCGGCTAGGACTTAGGATTTGGGCGTTTTACGGCTTCAGAGTAGTGTAGGCTCCTGATTAAGCCACGCCTGGCTCTTCTTGGCTTTTGATGATTGCCCGAATTAAACCTTAAACTTAAACCGTGAAATAACTTGTCGGGGGATTAGCAGGTGTGAAACGTACTCGGGGAGGTTCGGGTCTTGGCAATATTCTTGTTTAGCGTGTTTTGTTTGGGCAGTCTGAGGCGCGTCTCAGGATGATTGAGGTCTTCAGGCACTCTGCATCCCGTTGGCGCCCTTGTTTCGACTAAGGTCCGGATGTGATCCTTCACAATCTTGTCGTCAAGACTGCAGCTCAATCCTAGCAAAGAGTCCGAGAAAGAATCCGCGGCTTCCATTATAAAAACCTTAAGAAGAAGACTAACATAGATTAACTATTGGCTTTGGGAATACGGGAATCAAAGCTATGGCGCCCGAACTCCCAAACCCCAAAAGCCCAAGGCAAGCTCCTCTTTCCGATTGCGGGATGGGTTCCACCAAGCCTCGTGAAGGCCACGTTATAGACAAAGTGCTGACCGATGCCCAGGTAGGCCTGGAATAAGAATAATCACAACAGTAATCATGATCATATTAACAACGATGGTCATAATTGTAGTACCAATAATCAAAACGGCCATATAATCGTCATAATGTTAATGATGCTGGTTATAAGAACAATCACAGCAACAATAATGAAGCCAAGACTAGACTGCGGTGTTCCTATTGAAAGGATCCAGACACACCAGCTTCGCTTCCAAACGTGCAAACCCTTCTTCGCACTTCTGCTAGGTTCCTGTGACCCGGGACCGGCTGGATTCTGAGACTTGATCTACTTGCCGGGATTCTCTCTAAAACCCGATCAACCTTAAACCCACAACGCTAGATCCCTGACCCAGTTGCGGGCATCCACTGTGGAGTCAGGTCACAAGTTCAAGGCCCTCAACTTTGTCATGACTTACTTGCCCCAGCGAGACCACAAAGGAAGTTGGCGTATCCCGAAAGGAAGCTCCGCGAACAGTCGTCGAATGTCGGATGCACCACAGCAAGCCGAAGAATATCAAAAACTTGACTCCGAAACTTGACTCCGAAATGCGAGCACACTGGATGCCAATCGAAAGCACAACCGCTGAGAGCATACAGAATTGCCATCGGACTTGGGAAATTAAGTGAGTTTAGTAAACAGAAAAGGCACACATTCAGAACTGAGAATTTCGTTCTGGCAACATAAGCGTATTGCCAGATCAATCGATTTCAATTCAGCTTTTATCTTGCAGCCAGGCACGCCGCTGAAGAAAGCGAAGGCGGAGTTGCGCATCAAGCTCATTTCATCTTTCCTTGTATCAGCGAGGGACTTGGTCGGGAAACAACTAATGGCTGCAGACTGGCCGATGAGGTCACTGCGGAAATCCCGGAGGTCCGTAACGACCGTAAGGACTTACAACCCTCAACCTAGAGGGAAATCAAGCCGACCTTAGATACTCATTTAAAGCTGAACCCAAGCTGCTCGCTGACTGACTGACTGACTGACTGACTGACTGACTGACTGACTGACTGACTGACTGACTGACTGACTGACTCTCTCTCTCTCTATCTCTCTCTCTCTCTCTATGTATGTGTGTATATAATCATAGATGAGTTAGGACCCCCCCCCAACAGCCCCCCCTCCCAAATCTCAGACATGACATATTCGGAGTTCCATGATGTGTCACGGCATGCCGTGAAATCTGCAGCCGGAGTCCTAGATTTAGCTCCGAGTGT